ATGTACGCATCTATCGGTCCTTTTGCATGCACATGAGAGAGAGAGAGAGGTCTTGGTCTTGGTGGGTCAAGACTAGGGTCCAAGGCTTAAGTGTATGGTTTAATTAGATTAAGTTGAGGTGTAGTGTATAGGAACTAGGGTGTATGATATAGGGTAGGGTGGAGGATAACTAAAGTCTGTAGGATAGGCTAGAAATTTACCAAAACACAGCCAAGAGATAAATTATTTAACATTTCCCTCATATGTAAATTAATTAAAATTTTACCCATTTTGTTTGATTTAATTTGAATAGTCCATCAAGAGATATGAGTTGGGAATGCTAGTCCCTTCAATACCAGAACTTAATCACCTAAAACTCCCGATGAGTATCTCTGTTACCTTAGGGAGTAACATTATAGTGTGATCCCGCCCGAGTAAGCTACATCTGCTCAAAATTTTGAGCCACGTCCATATCAACATCATTGACTGTAAGTCTGTAAGGCTTAGAAAGCTAGTAGACGGTTGCTTTTCCCAGAAATGCGTGGAACGGTGGGGCTGAGGGCCCATGTATTGTTGGTATGGATATGCTCTTTATCGAGCATTGCACTTAGCATTGTACTTTCCACATGCTTGAAGAAAGTGTGGTCAAGAAAGCTTTTTAAAGACATTTTCTGGCCATGAGAAGTGCCTTTGCTCTCTTTCTTAAATGACATCATCCCTCCCACAAATCCGGCGTAGGTTCCCCACCCACCACATGCAAGTTGCTTGTCATCAGCAGAAATGGGTGGTCCTAATGTAGGGTGACATTTAGCTGTTTGGTGTATAATACTGTTTAAATTTTATTATTATTTAGAAAAATTAAAAAAAATGCGTATGTGAGATATTAAAAAAAAAAGGAAAACTTTATATAGAGCCGAGGCTCTAAACAATCAAATTTGATCCTAACTCAAAAATTTCATTAGAAGAGGTTGTTTTGATGTCCAAATATCTTCAAATTGATCATCTCGATACCAAGATGCATTGACATGAGAAAAAAAATGGATTTCAAGTTTGGAAAGAATGCATTTTGTAATACATTTTTGGACAGTCAATTTTTAATATTTTCAAGTTTTCATAGATCTATCAGTCTACATTAGTTTTGAAGCTTTAAACTTTATAAATAAATATAAAAATATATTTTAAGGCTATCACAAATATTTGCAATGTTGAAACTACATTTCTCGTCACTGTTTGAAGGTAGGCTCTAATTTGATTGTTTAGAGCTTAGGCTCTATACAAACCGCACCGAAAAAAAAAAAGTGATAGAAATAAAATGACTAAAATACCTTTAAAAGTTTGAAGAATATTGATAATTTATTTAAGTCAAATTAGTTTTTTATACTTTTTATACATTTATGATGATGAGAAATATGAACACTCCAAATTTAAACCCAATCAAATGTATAAATAATAATAAAATCAAAATACTTAGTCACACTCTCAATCGTCTTATCAAATATTGAATAATACAGTGCATAAACATTTTCGGTACAAACATGTTAGTTTCTCTTTTTTGATATGGGTTTAGTTAGGCGAGACTACTTGTGGTGTAGACTTTTGAAGTGCTCAACATTTTTAGATATTTAGATACCCTTATCCTATAGTATAATAACTTTTTGTTTAGAAGTATTTTAAGTGATTAATCAAAAGTAAATTAGAAATTCCTAATAAAAACAAAAGCATTTATTAACAATAGTGGACAATGACATCACCAATATAGTGTGTGACATTACCCACAAGATGTATTAATTATTTTTAACTACTTAAAAATGCTATTATTTTTTTATTAAAATATCCATTCTACCTTTCTAAATGACAAAAAATGGTTTTATGTGAAAAAAATTGTATTACAATTCAAAAGCATCTTAGTGTTAAAAAAATGTCCCTAACAAAACCCTTCTGACAAACAAAACCCTTTTGACATTTGACTTGTGCTACTCTTGCCCTTCATTTGGATGGGAATGTAAGCACCGATCACGAATCTCTTATATGGCGCCACGTAGGAAGTTCAGCCCTTGAAAACCGGAAAAACAAATTAAAATGAAAATTAGGTTCAATTTAGTGGAGGAAGAGGTTTGAAGTTTAAATTCGAGCATAAAAGAGGAAGCTTTAAACTCTTTTAAACCTATGTTTTGGAAAAGGGATCAAGTATGCCCACCCAGTAGGACATTGGATGAGAATTGGTAAAGAATTTAAAATAATAATAAAAAAAGTAGTACATAAATAAATTATTTATTTTAATAAAACAATGTCACAATCATTCTCATCCATCAGATTTCAAAATGGTTGGTTGTGGGTGTGTCATGTCTAGACTAACAGTTCAAAAAAAATTCTCAAATTTTATGACACATCTTAGCCATCCAATGTGACATCTAATGTATTATGGGAATTGTGACCTCTTTGTACTAAAAATAAACCATCTCATAGCATACATTCCCTATATTTATTAGAATAAGGTCACAATTATTCCCACTCATTAGATGTCAAATTGGATGGTTTAGGATGAGTAACAAAGTTGGATTTTTTTTTGGAACTTTGTGTCCATTCAATAACATTATTACAATTACCCATTTTGAAATTTCAGAGACAAAAATGATTAAGACCTCTTTGCACAAAAAAAATATAGGGCCTCTTTATAGATAATCCCATAAAAATAATGATATCTTTACATTGAAAAAATAAGAAGGATATGATGAATTCACATATATTCCACCGTGAATCATAAACTTCCGATTCCAATCCGACACATTCCCCGTCACACTAGACACAAACTTTTCTTTCATAGGGACACTGTATGCTTATTGCCGGTCAAAAGAGCTAACTTGGTGGATCTTTCAAACGGAATTTTTGGTCCACTTTTAGAATCATGATATGAGTATTTTTTAAGAGATACTGAATTTTGAGTTCTTACACTTATATTGGATGGTCTTCGTTCAATCGATTTTATTTTTTTAGGCAAATACATAACGTGTTTAG